TATTCTCTATTCTATTCAATTCTTTATTCTATTATCTAATCTAATCTAATCTAATCTATTCTCTATTCTATTCTATTCTATTCAATTCTATCCTTTATTCTATTATCTAATCTATTCTATTCTCTATTCTATTCTTTATTCTATTCTAAAATAGCGAATGGGGATGGGGATGGGATAGGACAGAACAGAACAGAACAAACACAGTTGGAAGGGACTTGGGAGGTCTTCTAGTCCAACCCCCTGCTCAGGCAGGAGAGCCTATAACATTTCAGACAAACGGCTGTCCAATCTCTTCTTCTCTTTGTCTTCTGCTCCGAATTCAAGGTGGCAATTCATGTCCGAAGGGTCCGATATAGGTTTTGGTGTCTACCTGAAGACCAAGACGGGGTCCCACCAGCACGCCGGGGAGATGACTGAGGTGCTCTCCAACCAGCGCTACAACGCACACCTGGTCCCTGAGGACGGCACCCTCACCTGCTCGGATGCTGGAATCTGTGAGTCGTCTCTGTCCAAACTTGTAGCTTTATCTGCCCTTGTGCTTTTCACACAGCGGGTCCTCTACTTACAACAGTTCATTTAGTGACCGTGCAAAGTGAACGACAGCATTGAACAAAAAAGAGAGACTTAGCACCAGGGGTGGGATTCGAAATTTTTAACAACCGGTTCTTATGGGCGTGGCTTAGGTGGTGGGCGTGGCTTTGTAGACATGTGACTGGGTGGGCGTGGCTTGGTAGCCATGTGATTGGCTGGGCGTGGCCAACCCAACATCACTCACGTCGAGGCACGCGTCTCCTCGCCTGGCCTCTTATGACTGTGGGGATGCTGCAATAGTCGTAAGGGTGAAAAACGGTCGTAAGTCACTTTTTTCAGTGCCACCGTAACCCCATTCCTTCAGCCATTCTTCCTAGGCTTTGTTCTCCAGGCGTTCATCCTCCGAGTTGCTCTTCTTGGCACTCTTTCCGGCGTCTCAGTGTTGTTGTTTTTTTTAATATCAAAACTGGCTGCCATATTCCAGGTGCTTCCCTGATGGCCTCTTTCTTATTCCCCCAGATGTCCTCCGCTTCGACAATACCTACAGCTACCTCCACGCCAAGAAAATCAGCTACACGGTGGAGGTTTTACTCCCCGATAAGAAGTGGGAAGAGAAGATCCAGAATTTGGATGAACAGACTCAGAAGGTGGAGAACAACCACGCGTGATGAAGATGGCATCTCCGGCGGGCCTCTGCCCCGGGGAGTGGGGGGGCGGGGAGTGGCAGGGGTGAGCACCACCCTCAAAGGTCTTTTTTGGGGGCGGAATTCTTGCTTGGGTGGTCAGGGGGCTTCGGGACTTCCAACAGTGTTGCCAGCGGATGGAGAAATGGTCCCTTGAACCCCAGGCCATAGCGAAGTCCTAGGAAGCTTAGCCTCGGGGATCTGTGCCATCCAAAGACAGTGGCGTTCTCTGCCCTTGGGTGAGTGTAATGGCCCAGGGCGTGGCACAAAGGCAACACAGTCAGATAATAAGAGTCCCTTTATTACCTCCAACTTTGCCCCCAATTGTCCTGGTTACCTTCTGGGATGGAGAACAGGGTAAACACAAACGGCAATTTAAAGTCCAAACGAGCCAAACTTGGAAGTAATCAGTTTGGCAGGGCCGAAGCAGGAATTTCAGACTTGAAAGCACAGCAAAGCTCACACAGTTGGGAAGATGCCAGGAACACAGATAAGCTATGACAACACAAGATAAAGTCACTTTGCCCACAGCAGCCTGCCGCACGCAGCTTGCTTTTTTAAAATAAACTCCGTTCTCAGGTGTGGCTAATGAAGGGAATCAGGGCCCTTTCCTCCCCCGTAAGCCACGCAACCCACGTTGCTCCCTTCTCCATTCCTTCCTGCGTGCCCTAGGATAAAGAGGGGATGGGCCTGGGTTTTCCTCCAAACTCCCTCTCCCTTGTTCTACCTCTTCCCTGCTCTGCCCAGCCGGACTTTGCCCTTCCCCAGTTTCCTCCACAGCCACACTCTGGCTCCCTGTCAACTGTTCGCCTTCCTCCTCCGAGTCAGACTCTGACAGGGGCATGACACTGAGGTACACTGTTTCTGTGTGGGGAGGCTCCACTTCGAAAGCCCTTGAAAGACCTATTTTTAGGCACGGGATCAAAATCGTGAAGTTTGCCTTAAACTTAAATGATCGCCCAGCCTGCTTCAATTCCTTTTGCAACCGCTGGGATTTTGCCAGCCACCAGCTTCCACAGAGCTCTTCCTACAGAACCCCACTCCAGATTTACAAACCTATTTTTGTTTTCGATCAGTTTATGCTTTGCACAACAGGATGTTTTCCACCGCACAAGTTGTGGAGAAGGCAGGAAAAAAAATAGGAAGAGGGAATATATGTCACTCTCACCTGTTCCTGTCCAGAGAATTTATCAACTGGATATTCCTGAATGGTTCATCCCCGCAAAAAGAAAGAAAGAAATAGGAAGCCAACGTGCACTTTGAGGTTTCCTCTGCAGCCTTCAAATAATATTTTTTTAAATTTTAAAAGATTTTAAATCGACCAGGAAAGAAGAAAAATGAAACAGAGGGATTTACAAACTGTAAAATATTAGGAGTTTACAAAATGTAAGAGGGGAAAAAAGGAACATTTTTCAGTTTTAATGATATTAAATCTAGACACTAAAACCCGTACCTTTTGTTCCTTTTTAAAATTGATGCTGGCAAATAAGTATTTCTAATTCATCTAGGAGACGTCATGGCTAGTTTGGCAATTCATTAGAACATTTGGCACAGGGAATTATGGCAATTGATTCTCCAATTAATTAAAAACTACCAATTTAATTAATCTGTGGAATGGCTTACCTCAAAGGATTTTAAGAGGTGACTGGACAGCCACTTGTCCAGAATGGTATAGCAGGAGGTTGGACTAGAAGACCTCCAAGGTCCTTTCCTTTCCTTTCCTTTCCTTTCCTTTCCTTTCCTTTCCTTTCCTTTCCTTTCCCTTCCCTTCCTCGGTGGGAAGGTGCACTGGCTTGGTCTATGACTACTTGCCAAGGTCAACTCACATGGCCAACTCGCCATGGCCAACTCACTTGGCCAACTCAAATGGCCAATTCAGCATGGCCAACTCACATGACCAGCTCGCCAAGGCCAACTCACCATGGCCAACTCGCCAAGGCCAACTCAAATAGCCAACTCACCAAGGC